GCAAATAATATCATTGCAGCATGTTTTTCAAGCTGTGAACAGGACTGAGTACCAAAGACGATTTCCCTTCTGAGTCTGCATAGGATCCAAAGGCAGCAATGCAACAATGGTCAAAATATGAAAATAAAATTTTTCCTGCCTTTTCTTTCCTTCTTTCTTTCTTTCTTTCTGCCTGCATGCCTGCCTCCTTGTGTCTGTATTAATGATGCAGATTATCACCATTTGGAATGTAATTTCGTGTATTAGCTTATTTAAAAACAAAAGTGTTTGAAAAAGGTACTATAATCAGGTATAAGTATTTTAAATCATCCACTTGAAATAACGTGATAAGCATGCTCTTCCACCACTTCTGTGTTTTCTGAAACTCTCAGATTGTCCCTTGAATGTTGACAGTTCCTCTTTATTCTCAGAAATTTATTTTTCTGCCAACTAATATAGCTTAGTCCACCAAAACCTCATTTTTCCTTTTTCTCTCCCTCATCCTGACAGAGACCAATAGGTAGCAACCGCTAGCTAATGAATCTTTTCTGGTGCCAGTGAAGGTTTTGATTATATGCCTGCCCAGACTCCAAATAGAGCCCTTTTTGATTTTCTCGTGAATAGGAGGAGGAGAAAATACTGTACTGGGGCCTCATGTCTTGAGCTGAACAGATAGAGGACTAGTCTTACTTCATTCAGTGACGGAAACTTGTTTTTTTAATTAGTTGGAGGTTTTTATGGAAAAACAATCAGAGCAGATGGGGGGAAAAAAGCTGACATTGCAGGTTTCAGAACTGATGAGGCCTGTTTTAGTTACAGCTGCTCTACCTTCCCTGTGCTGTGAGTCCAGGAGTTCTGCTCGTTTTTAGACTGTGCAGCACAGGGATGATACAGGGACAAAGAAACTTGGACTGCTGGTAGCTGAGGAGCTGGAGTTGTCTGTAAAATGAAGAGCTGCAAATGCCAGGCATTTCAATATCGAGACTTAAATTCTTACTGTAGCTTCTTACTATATCCCTGCATTTATATGGAAAAAAATGTAAGTACTACTACCCTGTACTGTATCTACTTGCCACTGACTTCTGGGCTGACCTCCAATTCACAAGGACTTAATTTTTTTAAAAATGAAGGCTGAGGTTTGCAAACAAATCACATGACTTCCTGACAAAAATAATTACTGTGAGGTGGGTGACAAACCATTAGATTATGGTTACAATTTGACTTTCCAACATAAGCTGCTAGAGAAATCTTCGTTCAAATGGTAGCACCAATGACAGCATAGACAATTATTTTCTGTTTGCTCGACTGCTTCTTGAGAGGTGGTTAGGCATCTGCTTCTTCAGAGAAGATTAGTTGTTCTTAAATAACCTTCTTAAAATAAATGCAGATTGGTGCCAAAGTCGTTGAGGTTTTGGCTTGGGGGATGCACTTTATGAGCTTTTGGAAGGAGTTGCATTGTTCACCTTCAGCTTTGGACTTGGGCTGGCCAGGAGTGAGCCCCCCACCCCATGCCATGCTGTGCCAGGTTGGAGAAATCCCACGCTGTGTCACTTACGACGTGGTTGGCCCCACTCTCTCTCTTTCTGAAGCACAGCCAAGCAAGGAGACTGGGGTGAAGGCTGTGCGGAGCCCTCAAAAAGAATGACGTGTATTTAAAATATTTTTCTTCTTCATTTTGTCTAAGAAGTCAAGAAATCAGTGCCCAGAAACTGCATGACTGAGAACTGTAGCACTGTGTACCGGATTTCTTGATGCCTGTGGAAAGGGGTGTGTATTCTTTCATGGGATGAGATGTATCCACTCTGTTGCTTATCAGCATGGACGAATATATTGCACTTTCTTGCTGAAACAAGCTGACTGTACTTCCCTGCTCTTATGTAATTAATGAAGTTTTTGCTGTCTGTTGTGGTGTGATTTTCAGAGGTGCGAAACAGCAAAACACACTGATAGAGTGACAAGTGGTAACAATTCATCCTTTCTTCGAGTCTTGTCAAAAAGTGGAGAGGATTAGACCACAACCCCAGACTAGAGGAGAAAAGGGTCTGTTCCCAGAGAAGCTCCTGCAGGACCTGCAGTCAGAGCATGCCTTTTCATGAGATAGTCAGTGTTGGGAAGGGAGGTTTTCCTTGCACACTGCCCTCTGCTCTGCTTGACGCTGCTTTAGAGAATGGCTCAAAGGGAAGGTGCCTTTTGAGAAGGGAGTGGAGGGAAGAGAGCAGAGAACCGGTGTTTTGATCCGCCTGTTTCTCATTCTGGTTGCATAAACACACCAGAGGATTTCTCTAAATTAAATTAAGCAAAGCTTTCATGTTCCCTCCCTGCTTCCAGAAAGCTAATGTGGGTGCTTGCAGATTTGAGCTACAGAGGAGACAAAGATCTGTAGTGTGCACAGACTCGAGTGCTGAGCAGTATCATGCTGAAAGAACTGCACAAGCTCTAATAGCATATAAAAGCTTTCTGGGCATCAAGCAAAAATCTGTTTAAATCCCTGACAGGGATGAGAGCACAGCATGTATTATCAGCATATGCACAGAGACAGAGAGGCTCTCAGAACATTTGCATTTTGGATTTGCTATAATTAGAAGGTTTCAACCTTTCCAAAAAGGTTGAAATGGTGGAAGGAGTAAGTGTAAAACTTCAGCTTTTTTCCCATCCCCATACAAATATTTAGGGCTCTTCCCTTTTCTCTGCGTGTGTGCCTGAGTTACACTGATGCCAATGGCAATTTTTCTTGAATGTAAGGGATGTAAAACCCCACAGGCTTCTCTTTCATATTAATAATCATAATCCAATCCTCAGATGTTGACTATCCTTGTATTCCCCACCCCACACACTGAAGGACGGACCCCCCACCATGCACGGCAGTGAACACACAGCAAGAAGATTGTCCCTGGGCTGCAATTCCTCATGAAAGTGGATCCTTTTCCTAGTGAGCACATGTGTAGAGTTGAATATCTTGAGATACAGACATACCTGTGCCTGGACAGACCTCAGATAAAATGTGGCAGGCGTCTGTGAGGCAGAATGATGCAAGCTGAACTGGAGCAGAAAGGATGCTTGTGGGTCAGTGGTGAGCAAGTCAGATAATGGTGTAGTACATATGGGTTCTCTGAGGGGAAAATGTCTGTTTTGGGAAGGTTTGACTGTAGGGAAGCTTTGTCTCACTAAGATTTCCCTTATTTTGATAACTAATTTGCCAGACTAAAATCTCTCTGCAAAGACTGTGTAACTTAAGGACGATTATATTAGTGATCTGGATCAACTGGCACAGCTGGAGCTAGCAGGGGAATATAGGCCAGGTAGATGAATGCTTTCTCCAATATCAAACAGATTCAGCAGAGAATTTATTCAGGAGCAGGGAAGGAAGTGCTATTAGGTTGAAGATGTCAGCTCAGTCACCAATAGCCATGTGTAAAGATGAGGGAGAAAAGTAAGAAAAGAAGACCATGGCCACTGAATAGAGGATTCTTAAATTGCCTAATTTAAGAGGAAAATGAGTATGTCTCTATTTATCTGTTTAAGTAGAAGGTAAGTAGGAGCAAGTTGAAGAAAGGTTTTTCCCTTCTTGTCTGTTAACTAGATGTGACTGCCACTTCAGTGATGACAGCCCTCCCTCCAGTTTCAGCTACTCTAATAGCAGCAGACAAAGAGTGGGAACAGGCAGTGTGGATAAGCTGGTTATTGAATGTTTGGACTGTGACCCCCTTCTTCTTCCAGTCAGACTGTTGAATATTCATGTAAGTGGGCTCAGATAGATCAATGCCATCTGTCTGTATTTATATGACTTAATCCAAACAGCTCTAAAACATGTCAAATTTTATCCCCACAACAGCTCTTTAAAGCAAAAGGGATTTTTTACCTGTCTGAAGGGAAGAGGAATGGAAAGACAATGTGATTTAGCAAGTAGCCAGATTGATTCATCTGGACTCCATCAGGGAGGATCCAAATTCAGCTCTTTTAAGTGCCAGGCCCAGCTATAGCCAAAGGCCCTCAAGGCAGAGATCAAATTTGGTGCTCTGAAGTGTTCCATAATTCACCTAATGTTGCTCGTTAAACATAAAAAAAAAATCTTTGTATGCAATTAGAAAGGAAACTGGAGATTCCACCACTGTATATGTGTATGGGTACAGAATGAAAGTATTTGAGGAGGAGAAATCAATAATAAACCCATTATTTAGCCTGCACTGCATTCAGTTGCACACCTTGATGACCAGATAAAAGAGGACCGTCATACAAGCTTCAGTAAACAATGTGCCCATATGGACCATTCCGTGAGGGAACAGATTGTCACAGCTACATTTGACCTGTTTTAGAGCAATCGTGACTCTCCCTTGGCACGGTGGATGTGCTGCTGACATTTCAGCAGAGCTGCTTCAAAAAAACTGAGTGCCATTGTCAGAATAACGTGGCATTTTATGAGTGAGAAGCAATTCCTGCTTTTTAAATCAAGCAGCAAGCCCAGCACCTCTCCTTCTCTCCTCAGAGCCCCTTAAAACAGTCTGAGTGGGAGAGATGAAAGGACAAGACTATTGAGAACACAAAGCCAGACTTTTTAGTATACCTACGTTAAGTTACTGAATACGTTTATGTCACTCATACGCTTCAGGGATTTCAATCTGAAGCTCAGATTCAGCTGACAGAAGCCCACACATAGGCAGGTTATCACAGAAGAGACGTCTATGAAATGGTTCAGTGGGGGTGGTTGGTTTCATACCTACTCCCAGAAGGTAGCTTACTTTTTCTTATCTGTCCAGTCCCTTGCCTTCGAGCTATTTTTAGTCGTGAGTGCATTTTGAAAACAAAAAGGAATACATTTTCACTGTGGTGCTCAAGAAACTCTTAACATGCATTTTGGAAGCACTCCAGAATGGGTCTTTGTGCCTTTAACACCATATTGAAATGCTTTTTTTCTTTCAAGGATCTTTCTCCTTGGCTTAGTCTTCAAGAATAGCCTCGAGGCTTTCAGTTTACTCAGTATATTTTTGTTGATGATTTTTTTTTTCCCCCCAACTGTTTTTCAGGCATTGGAAAAAATGTCATCTGTGACCGAACGGCGACTCCGCTGGATGCCTTCAGGATGATGACTGCGGCTCATTACTACCCAAAGCTCATGAGCATCATGGGGAACGTTTTACGCTTCCTGCCTGCTTTTGTGAAGATGAAACAGCTGATCCAGGAGGGTTACGTGGGGGAGCTGCTGGTGTGCGAGGTGCAGGTTCACAGTGGAAGCCTGCTAGGCAAGAAGTACAACTGGAGCTGTGACGACCTGATGGGAGGCGGCGGCTTGCACTCGGTCGGCACCTACATCATCGACCTCCTGACCTTCCTCACCAGCCAGAAGGCCGTGAAAGTGCACGGGCTGCTCAAGACCTTCGTGAAGCAGACGGACCACATCAAGGGGATACGGCAGATCACCAGCGATGACTTCTGTACGTTCCAGATGGTCCTGGAAGGAGGCGTGTGCTGCACGGTGACGCTCAACTTCAACATCCCGGGGGAGTTCAAACAAGACATCATCGTGGTGGGTTCGGCAGGACGGCTGATTGTAATAGGCACTGACCTCTACGGACAGAGCAACAGCTCTCCTCAGAGGGAGCTGCTGCTCAAGGACTCCACGCCAGTCAGCAACTCCCTGCTTCCGGAGAAAGCCTTCAGTGACATCCCATCGCCCTACCTCCGGGGCACCATTAAGATGGTCCAAGCTGTCCGGCAAGCGTTTGAGGACCAGGACGACAGGAGGACCTGGGACGGGAGGCCCCTTACGATGGCTGCCACTTTTGACGACTGCCTGTACGCCCTGTGCGTGGTGGACACCATTAAAAAGTCAAACCAGCTGGGGGAGTGGCAGAACATTTCAATCATGACTGAGGAGCCAGAACTGAGCCCGGCATACTTAATCAGCGAAGCCATGAGGAAGAGCAGGATGTCTCTGTACTGCTAGCTCCTCCTTAGCTCCTAGGAAAGAATAGGAACCAGACAGCTCTCGAAGGAGATGGTAATTCAGCCCCTGTGAAGGGCTCGGGTATTTTAGAAACAGATGAAGACAAGGAAATACAGTGTTTGGATCAACTGCTGTTGGCAGCTAAATGCTGAAGTGATAATGGTCCTTCAAAATGCCCAAAACAGATAGGAGACGTAAGAGCTGATATAACTTAACTGTTTTAATAACAGTATTAGCTGGGCGATTGGCAAGATATATCACGGACTCATCTCCTGCTTGCAGGTGCTTTAGATTATCCAATTGTGTTTACTGTGAAAGGTTGGGAAGATCCTTTTAGATTTTCCTTACCTACCAGAGGGCTGTGAAGGTACTGTCATGTCGTTAAATTTTCTGTAGTGTCTGACATGAATGGTTCCTCCCATGACAGCTGACACCACCACGCTCTATTACGACACCTCTAACCAACACGCAGAATAACAGGACTTGGTGTGAAAGTGTTGCGTGACAGGGAAAATCTTGGCAGCTCGCTTTTCATACAACCTGTTAGGAGCTTCTCTGTGTTGGTTTAGCTAGTTGGTTTTTGTTTGATTTGTTGTTGTTTTTCTTTTTTTTTTTTTTTAAAGCACAATTAAGTAGGAAAATATGTGGCTTTTAAAACAAAGCAGTCCTCAACCACAGTGCATATGCCCCAGTATTTGGGGAGGGAGGGTCTTCTGTGAGCTCCCTGTAGGCTTCAGTGTTATGTATTTGCTGACTGAATGGGTTGTGGAAAACCTTTCACGGATGACAAGTGGCGTGACACAGTAGTGATGGTGGGTTTTATTACACAGCCAAACTCAGGCTAGTCTTACGAAGGTTTCCTGTGTCTGGGACTGAGTTTTGAGTGAATTCATCGTGTGTTTTGGTTCTAGGTGGAAAACAGTAGAAACACAACCCAAAACCATACAATGTTTAGGTGAGCAGTGTTCTTTTAAACCTTTGTGAACTCACACTTGAGAGATGCACACCAACAAGTAATTTCCCATCCCTCAACCCAGAAGCTCTCACCTCCACCAAGAGGTGATTGTGACTGAAAAACAAAGGGATGAGAAAATTTCCCGTCCATTTCCAAGGAAAAAAATTGACATAGGACTCCCACTCTCCTCATCTCCCTGAAGTGGCCAGCTACTGGTACTGTAGTAATCATTCCCTGTCATCAGTGCAGGGGTGGACAAACTCTTTTGATACGCTTGTCCTGTTCTTCTTTTTAATATTTTAGTTTGCAGTCTTGAAATAATATATTCTTTTGAGAATATCTTCTTGAATGATTATAGTGAAAGGCACATAAATTATCCCAGTAAGCAGGGATACTGTTTTTCTGCATAAAGCTGCTCCAGTGCTGATGTGTTTACAGCGCTAGGTCTTCAGACAGTAAAAAAAGTAGAACGCAAGCATACAGCACTAAATTATATTAAACTTGAGAAAAACCTTTTCAGGGTTTGTTTTGTTAACTTTGATGAGGGGAAAGAAGAGAGCATTTGGATGAAAAGAGAAGATTGAATGAAAAGAGAAAACATGACCCCTCTTTCTCAAGGCCATCCCATTAGTGTGGCCCTTTTAGGTCAGAAAAAGAACTGTCAGAGTAATTTAGATTTTTTTAAACCACTTACAGTTTTGCTGTTTTTAGGAGTACTAAGGACTTCTATAGGGTTTTTCCTACAAATGTCTCCATCTGATTGCTCTGTGCTCTTGGCTGTCCTTTGCCCAGTTTTAGAGCTTCGTGGTTTTGAACAGGAGGGCATCAATAGTGTGGTTTATCTCATCTGACTTTAACCAGTGGAAAGTCATTTGTCTTGTCCTGATCAGCAAGGACACAGCAGTCAATACAGAGAGAGCTCTCCAAAGGCTGACTCAGTTTGTCCTAAGATTAATTTAGAAGGAGGTGTCCATTGGAAATGCCCGTCCTCCTCCTTTGCAGAGAATTTTGGCTTCTACATTTTTAGGTGACTCCCAGCCTGAAATTATTCATGGGTGCTTAATTTTTCAAGAGCGTATGTGTGACCTTTCATTAAATAGTCCCCAAAGTGTAATAGTGTGACTGATGAAGGAATAATGTAATACTGCAAAACCACACCCTAAGGGACAATTGTTTCTATCCATGTTGTTCTGCCAGTTTCAGCAACTCTCTCTAGGCCTGACTGTTTCTGCTAAGACCTCAGACAAGCTTTCATTATTCCTTCTTGAAAGCAGTTCTTGACAAGTCTGGTTGGTTTTCCTAAAAATTGATTTATTTGAGAATTTCTGAAGTAGTATCTGTGCCAACAGGAATTTCCTATTGTAATTGTCATGGTATACTATGCTATCCAGTTCCTACTCTGAAGAGTACACAGAGTAACGTGAGAGATTTTGACCAAGGAATCACCTATCTCTCTCCTGAAAAATGGAATTAGACCCAAGGGGATCAAGAGAGTTTTCACAAAGTAAAGCTAAAGCCATTTACTGAAAATAGTGGCCTAGTTCAAGTCATGAGTGCAAATCTGGTAGATAATTAACCATGTACAGTTAAACATCATCCAAAAGTGGAATCAAACATGGACCAAAATGTTTGTGAATCTTGCTTCTCAGTGGTTTGGCCCTTGTTCTGGAATTGCCGTTCATGTCTTTGCGCTTCATTTTGGTTTACAAATGTTGACCATTTTTCCTGTCTGTGTTTTCTTCTTTCCTCTGTCTTTCTGAGTTTTGTGATGCCAGTTGGAAGCAGCCCCTGCAATGAACAGTCCCCAGGCGAGACACAGTGCATAGGGATAAAACTACTGAGCTCAACCTTTCTGTCCCTGATCCAAAGGTTTAGGTGACAGGCATCATCCATCCTCTGTGCAGACTTAGTGATGCAGCTAGTGCTGCTTAGCAGAAAGAAAATCTAATGCTTTGGTTACACAGACACCTGATGCTGTTTTTAGTACTGCCTTGCAAGTGGGTTGAACCCTGTACAGCTCGCTGTGTGACTGCAGTGCTGGCCCCAGAGAGACAGGCAGAACGAGCAGGGACAGGGTGGGACCTCCTCTTCTGATGGCAACAGAGATCTCATGCTGTGTTTAGGTGAATTTGTTATCTAACTGGAATGGCAGCAGTAGCTGCATATATTCAGGACTTTACAGCTGTTATTCCATTCTCTAGGAAGTGAAAGGGCTGTAGTGTCAAGTATAAACATACTAAAATTCCACCTGGCTTGGAGGAGGAAAGAATTGGTTTATTTATTGAATGTGTATTGTTATTCTGATAAATCATTCTTTTAAAGTCTGGGATCTTCCTTGGCAGCATCCAGCCCTCTGTTCTTTTGGTACAGTTGAAAGTACATTGAATTTGCCCTAAGTAGCCTCTGGAGTTCATGCTGGGTTTCAGAATTTGGGCGGGAGATACAGAGATGTACTGGATTGAACTCAAAAGCGGTACCACCCCAGAAAACATGCATTTGGAATTGCACTTTTAAATGCTGTGCCACAAGTTTTGAGATGAATGCTGCTAAATTGGTGCAGGCTGAAAAGCCGAACGGTGGCTACTGCTGGAATTTACAGTAGCCCCCAAACGAACCTTTTCGTACACTAGGTAAGAGATGTTCACTCCTCTTTCCCAGGGCTGCTGGTGGAGAGGCTCTTTCCTTTGCCATCAACCTGTGCACGTAGGATACCGAACATTATGGTCTGTTGCCAAAGAGAAAAAGAGCCAAAGGGTGAGCCCAGGTGAAATGCTTTGTGGCTCTGCAGGGCTCTGTTCCAATGCTGTGACAGCCAGCTGAGAGACGGTGTCTTATTTCCCATGGGAATTGCATTGGGGTTCACGTCAGGGGTAGGGCAACCCCCCTCTGTGTGACAGCAGGGCACAACTACAGCAGGGAGGAACAGTACCTGTCTGCAGGCTGGTACCTCTGTGACAGCAGGGAGATTGTACTGGTCACATGGAGGGTGAGGGCTGTACCTCCTGAGGGTGACAGCAGCAGCCTTGCTCCACCTCTATGTTTGGGAGCCCAAGAAGGGACCCTGCCCTTGGGGAAGCAGCATCCGTCCCGTACTCCTAGATACCTGCACGTCATCAGTGCTGGTCTCAGTGAAGCCCTACGTGGAAGCATAAGAACTCTTCAGGAGCTTGGGGTTTCCTATATCTAGTATTGTGCATGTGTTAAATTAGTAGTACTTTAGCTGTGTAGTTAGAAAATACCAAGTAGAGATGATACTTCCCCATGCAGCCAATGTGGCAGAGAATCGGGGCATGCGTAGGTGAGTTCAGGCTCAGGATGGGCTGCTGTGGAGTTCATCCTTTGCTTTGGCTGAAAGCATGAGAAATTCCTGCCCAGCCAGCATCGGGCAATCAGAGGCACTACCCACTTTGTACTTAGTGTTCCCTTCTTTTCGATAGTTTTCAAAAAAAGTGACTGTACGAGTGAACAGCTGTCCCGGAAGTTCAGCCATTCCAAAAAGGAGGCTCTTCTGCTGTGTGTGGTCACAGCACAAGGACAATTCAATCTCTCTGTTACCTTGTTTGTTTCCGTGTCCATACAAATGTGGAAAAGACCCAGACAATTTAAAATGACTCATTGATCAACCAAAAAAAAAAAAAAAAAAAAAAAAAAAAAAAAAAAAAAAAAAAAAAAAAAAAAAAAAAAAAAAAAAAAAAAAAAAAAAAAAGGCATATTTGATTTAATGGGTAAAGATAAACATAGTAGCTTGATGTTGTCTTTGCAGAGATTTAGAAATTAGTGATGACAGAATTTCTTGTTGCTGGGAATTTTTATATTTGACTTTTATCTATGGCCTTCAGTATAAAATATCACACATTATGAAGTCCAATCACTGTTAAGTTCTGTATTTACAAGGGTTTAAAAGTACGCAGCAGAGTTTTGGCTTTATGCGGATACTCAACACTGGTGTGGTGTTCCAGTGGCCCAGTGATGTGCTGTTAAGTACGTATGAAACTCAACACTGGACTTTTGACCTCTGCAGTGCTCTTTGGGTATCTAGAGCTAGTTGTGAATTGGCAGGATTATTCAGGACAGCAGTTTCTTTTTGTTGTTGTTGAAGTTGTTACTTGTGGGGAGCAAAGTTTGTAAATTTTAGAGATGAAGTATGACTGAATAATATTTGGCAGTCTTATCTGCTTTAAAATTTCCTCTCTCGTGAGCTACTTGATGAAGTCTGTCCAATAAAAATAATTTCCCCTTAACTGCCCACTTCCATTTGCTCATGAAAAGAGGAAATTTTAAGTAAATGGGACTACACATAATGCTGCATTCATGAACCGATGTCAAAACCTCATGACTTAATGAGTGTATGAAGCCAGAGACCAGACAAGTAATGACTTTCTTGAAGCTGCCAGATTGAGGCCTTGGGGTTGGGAAATGAAGGGTATCAACATAGGTCAAACTGAAATAGCTTTTATTCAGCATTTTGAGTGACATGAATAAACAGAATGGCTATGGTCAATCCAAAACTGAAGACAACACAAAACATGTTTGTATAAGGTTATTTACATTTTGGGGGGGGGGATTAAGTTCTATTTTTAAAGAATGATGTTTTGAAATTAAAGGTTTTAAAAATCTATCCTTTATTATGTTTTGGCATGTGTGAAGTTAAATGGTTGGGGTTGTGGTTTGGTTTTGTTGGGGGGTTTTTTTGGATTGTTTTTTGTTGGGCTTTTATGTAAGTTCATACTTCAAAAAATTCTATCTATTTGGTTTAAGGACATTCAGTGAATTCAGCTGCCCTTGGCAGGTTCAGCTCTGAACCTGTAGCCTCACAGTGTCTTACAGTGACCACATTTCTAACATCTGAATTTGGCCATCTGAGTTTCATTTGTGTCCTCTTGCGGCAGTGGGAAAACTGGTTCATTACATGGAGCTGGCTACGGATAATCGAGATACTTTTTGCAGCAGTGCCAGCCATCGTCTTTAAAAGCACTTAACTCTATTGACTTGTTTACCATGGTTATTTATGACTTTCCAGCCATGTGCTGTCCATTATTTCCTTTCCTTTTTATACCAGCTTTTAGACTCATCTCTCCTCTCTGTTTCCCATTCCATTGCAAACCTGGAGGTGAGTCTCCCTTGTTCCCCGCTGAGCTGACGCTCAGTCTGTGTTACACATGGCGTATACAGGGTGGCTAACCTGCAACTTGAAGTAGCTTTTAACACAGGTCCAGTACAGGATACGTGAACACCACAACTGCTCGAGTATGTGGCGTACTGAATGCCTGGCCAGGGCAGGAGTTCAAACTCCCTGCTACGCTGTGCTTCACAAGCAACACTCACTGTTCCTCTCCCACTGGTTTGCTCTTATTTGATTTTGATGATGAGAGTATGTTCAGTTTGTTGCTGTGTCGATATTAAGTATATATTTATTGGTTTTTTTCAGACATACATACATATATATAAATGCTATATATATATAATGTCAACGCATGGACATATGTACAGTAGATATTTTAAAGAGCTATTTATCAAGAAAAGTAAGTGTTATAAGTAAACAGAGTTTATATTTTATATATTATGTAGATAGCAAAAAAAAAAAAAAAAAGTGGTTAAATTATAGTAGGACTTCTTGGGGTGGGGTTGGAGAAATGGGCAAGGACTGGTTCTAGCATTTTAAATAGCCAAACTACTTTGTACGGAAGCTGCCTGCTGTGCCTCTCGGCTGCAATATCCGTTTGTTTCTTCTTTTGGAAGATGATGTGCATTGTTACTTTTACATTGCTTGGGGAATGTAGTTAGTTTATTCTCAGCCAACTGGTATGTGCTGCTTAAAACATGGTTTCCTGCTGTTCTGCGTATTTGCATTGATGGAATAAAAGGATCTTAACTGGCAAATAAAGACGTTAAAGGATGTGATCTCGGCTGTCTGTGGTTTTTCCCCACACTTGTATTTTGGGGGGAGTGTAATAAGCATCACCTTCTCCTGGTTTCTAGCCTGCTTGTTAAGTTCAACATATCAGAGTGAAATACATGGGCTTTGTGCTTGGGAGTGGGGATTGTGATGGAGGGAGAGGAAGAAGAAGGTTTTATGCCACTGAAGGTTTTGTGTTATGGCAAGGACTGTTGGAGGGATGTGTCCTGAGGAATCAGCTGTTTTTGTTGTCAAAGGGTGCGAGTATGTCCAGTGGCATAACAAAACGGGCATTGGACATCCCCACTGAGCATAACCTGGAGATCTTTTCTCCTGAATTTCCTCTTTCTCCTGGATCCTTTCTCTCCTTTTTCCAGCACAGCCTGAAGATCCAGTTCCTACCTCCCCACTGGTGTCCTGGAATGTTTTTGCCTTCCCTGTCCTGAGCTCCCTCCAGTGACTTCCCGAGGCCTACCCCACCCATCCTTTCTCCCATCTGCCAGGAACTGTCAGGTCTTTCTGCTCTTTTCTCCCCGGTATGTTGGAGTATCAAAAGTCTAGTAAGGATCTTGTTAGTCCAGCCCCTCTGATGCTGAAGAAAACCTCACTTGGGCATGAAGCAGAAGATAATATGAAGCAATTGTAAATTCTAGGCTCTGAGGAAAGATTGATTGCCTCCGTGATTGATGTGTAAAAAGGCTAGAGCATTTTCTCTGTTGCTTTTCCTATTTTACAGCAGAGCACATAGAAAGATGTTGGATTCTACTCCCATCAGTGCTCACTCATTCCCAGGCACTACGAAAGTACACAAATCTGAGGCACAAATCCATGAAGGGAAGGGAAATAATTGTCACTTACAATGCACACTCCCCTCAAATCACACAATCTTGTGAACTGTGTATTTTTTCTTTCATAAAAATTTACAGAGTGGGTATAGCATTTACTTCATCACAGAAATGTAACATGTTACCAACCTCTATTACTTCCATAGCAGCTATCATACTTTAAACTTGTACTGATGTTTATATACTCATAATTTTTTTCTATCAGTTTTAATACACATGATTTTCTTAGGCTTAAGAGGAGAAAAGTACAAGACAAGGAATCTTCAGTCTGCGGGTCTCCAGGAATTATAACGTTTGTTTTATCCTGGTAAGTAAATGTAGTATAACCTTGCTCAGATTTCCGGATCACCGTCTTCAACTAATCAATTAGGCACTGAATTAAAATAGGGTCAAATTTCATGGTATATCCTTTCCCATCAAATTCATTGTAAAACAAGGCCTACTTCCCTCTCAAAGGCTAAAACCTAGAAATCTTTGGAAAACAGCACCTAGGGGAGCAATTACTGTGAGACAGCGTTGAAGATACAGTGGGATTATTAGTACAGCATTTCAGTGCACAATATGTAACTGTATAGGTAAGTGCAAATGCGAGAGTGAGTATAAACATTCCAGGCTAATGAGGCTACACAAATGCTAAGGTAAACATTTCCAAACCTGTGTCAGCACAGCTGAGACACTTAGGTGTAGATTTATGAACCCGAGTAAGAGTTCTGCTTTTAAAACAAACTGCAGAAATATAGGCGAAGGGGAAAACTTCTTACCATTTTCCCTAGTTTTTGAAGAAATCAGGCTTCCACAGTTTACCCTGGCTTGTCCTGCTGTTTTCTGGAGTCCTTATTGATTAGCAGCTATGTTAGTAAAAACAATGGGTGGCTTGCAGCCATAAATATTAATCAAGAAGAATGTTAAATGCATTGCATTGTTCTCCTCAGGATTGAAGAGTTTGCTGGGGCAGGGGTTATTAAAACATGCTGCTGTGCCAAAGAGAAGATGCACT